TTTTTTTTTTTTTTTTTTTTTTTTGATCTTGTTTGCATATATACTTCAAAGCAGCTTGAGAGATGCTTTAATTTTTTCCCCAGTAATCGGCAGATGAATGGCTTGAGGATAGATTAGAGCACGACTCACCAGAATCCACCAATGGTCCGATAAAGTACTGAGGTATGAGGAAGGACAAGCAGTAAGCAAAAAAGGAGGAGAGAGAGACCTTCAGGCCCATGGCACTCTGTGCTGGGTTCTGCAACCAAACGGTCATTGAAGCATTTGCCTTCAACATGTCGCATGAAGATCAGAGGAGAAAGGAGATGAGAGGACACAGAAGGAAGTTTAACAAGAGCACTTATGACATCAGTTATTACTCTGATCCAAACTGTTTTCACTTCATCTGACACAAGACTCTTGAAATCACATTCGATTCTTAGGACTGAGGGCTAATAAACAGGAGGCAAGCACCCCAGCAGAATCGCTGAGTCGCTCGTCATCTCCATATAAGCAGGAAAAAATTAAGCTATCGAGAAATGAATACTGAGGCATTGACAAACCAGACACTAAAGGTGGTTAGTGTCCAGAAGAAGTCAATGATTCTCATTTCTTACCAGTGGCATAGACATTGGATACCAGCACCAATATAAAACAATCTAACATATTAGTAACAGATAAGACAAATCCTGGAATATGGCAGACTTGTGAGGATTAAATCAAGGAGGCAATCTTCTATTCTTGAGCAGTCCCTGCAGTTTACTAATCCAATAATGCATTTCCTAAGATCCCCACTGAAAACTCTCATGCTACGAGTACTAAAGTTATCCCACTTTACCAGTGGCATGTTGTAACTGAGAATATATGCAATGTTTCTAGCTGACCTGATATAGTTCGATAACTTCACCTGCTTCTTAGATTTGGCTGTAATTTTCTTTACCTCTTCATTGTAGTCTGTCTTGTGATGAGACTGGAATGACAAATGAAGAATGTAGCTATTTTCATTAAATCCTTATTAGTCTTGAAACGATGTGGTTGGTGATCCTTGGCCTGGACACTGTATGACATTTACCTTCTCAGCAGGTTGTACTTTTCCACATATGGTTAATTTAGCTGAGCCCTACTGTTTAATAAGATGCAAATTGGGCCAATTCTTTTCATGGTCTGCACTGTTTTTCTGAAGCTAACTTGTACAATTTTGGATTCATTAATTGTGACGCATACCAGTAGCTTAATAGGTTGCCAGATTAGCAGCTAAAATGGCAAGATGCCAAGTCAAACTTGAGTTTCAGTAAACAATGAACATTTTTTAAATGTATGTTCCAAATTGCACAAAGATTAATGCTTCCACGAAGTACTGGTTTAAATTTAAACAGTACTGGTTTAAATTTAATTGGGTGTGCATATTTATCTGGCAAACCTAACTTCAAGGATTTGCTAGCAAACTAGACAATTGGCGAGAACAGAATCTGTGGAAGAATCTTCATTTCGTTGAATCGACAATCTTTTTTTTTTTTTTTTTTTTTGAGACAGAGTCTCGCTTTGTTTGCCCAGGCTAGAGTGAGTGCCATGGTGTCAGCAGCTCACAGCAACCTCAAACTCCTGGCTCAAGCAATCCTCCTGCCTCAGCCTCCCAAGTAGCTGGGACTACAGGCATTTGCCACCATGCCCGGCTAATTTTTTTTTTGTATATATATATATAGTTGGCCATTAATTTCTTTCTATTTAAGTAGAGACGGGTCTGCTCTTGCTCAGGCTGGTTTTGAACTCTGACCTCGAGCAATCTGCCCGCCTCGGCCTCCCAGAGAGCTAGGATTACAGGCGTGAGCCAGAAATGACAATCTTGATTGTTAGTAAAGAATCAAAAGTTTGACTCCACATTGAGAGTTATATTTTCAGGAATTTAAAAGATTAACATTAAATGTAGATTATTTGGTTGCAAAAAAATTTACTTCACTATCTTGGCTATTTAGATGAACAATTATATGGCCATTTGTCCCTTAAATAGTACATTGCGGGATTTAGAACACACTGTGCCTTCTCCATTGCTGTTCCCTCTGCCTAGAATTCCGTCTCTGATGCTGGCCACCAGCACCTCCCTGCCTTTCTAACATGCTAGCTCCCGTAGATCCTTTTGACTCAGTTCCATGAAGCACGTCTGGAGGCCTTCTTCATTTCTCTCTCTGATTTTATGCTTTTCCTCTGGCACCTTTGCCACTTACTTCTTTCAGAATACTTGTCAGAGTATTGTAATTGTGGATTATATTTGTCTCCTTCACAAAACAAGAACTCTTTGAAAGCCATGGCTGAGGCCGGGCGCGGTGGCTCACGCCTGTAATCCTAGCACTCTGGGAGGCCGAGGCGGGCGGATTGCTCGAGGTCGGGAGTTCGAAACCAGCCTGAGCGAGACCCCGTCTCTACTAAAAATAGAAAGAAATTAATTGACCAACTAAAAGTATATATACAAAAAATTAGCCGGGCATGGTGGTGCATGCCTGTAGTCCCAGCTACTTGGGAGGCTGAGGCAGGAGGATCGCTTGAGCCCAGGAGTTTGAGGTTGCTGTGAGCTAGGCTGATGCCACGGCACTCACTCTAGCCAGGGCAACAAAAGTGAGACTCTGTCTCAAAAAAAAAAAAAAGGAAAGCCATGGCTGAATCATGCCATGTTCTTGTTATATTTTCAGTTCCTAGCTGAGGCATAGTGTGTACTCAATAATTACATGTTGGATGGATGAATAAAAACATAATGCATTGTCTTAATTAAGTGATATTTAATGGCTACTTATTTTATGATGTTATATATAAGAAGGTGAAAGAACCATGATAAAAAAAAGACTATTGATTAACTTTAGATATTTCATTTTCATTTAAAATGGTATCAAGGAAGCTTTGGGAAGTGTTGGAAATGTCTGTTACCTTGATTGTAGTGATGGTATCAAGGGCATTTGAAGTGAGTAAAATCTTGTATTTCATTTTCTACACTGTCCTCCATACCAAATTGCATCTGAGTATCTATTTCCTTAGCCCTTCTAGCAGAAGACTGAAAATTAAATTTACTACATCTCTACAGGCTACTTCTTATTTTGAAATAGCTTCTTTAGCTTAGAGTTATTGAGAAACATTTTACTATGTGGCGTTTCCATGGAATAATTCTTGGATACTCAAACCTTCCTGGAAATTTATATCTTGTCTCATCCTTCCTTAACACACAAACCTTCATTCCTGAGATACAACCCTGATTTGAACAAACTGAATGATTGTGTAGCGATGTTTATAGGTGACTGCTCTCCTCTGATTTTGGAAATGATTCCTGACCCATATCATTGCTACTTCATAGTGTATCCTAGTAAATGAAGTGCTCACAGTAACTATGACAATGTCTTCTCCCAAATATTTTTTAGATTAATTTTTCTTTTATGTTTTAGCAAATAAGTATAGATTTTATGCATGCCAGTATTGTATAGCGTGGAACTTATGGGAATGCTATAGTTAAGAAAAAAATAATTCTACAAGATAACATTTTGTCACAAGACTACTGCTTTGAACCCCAGTCACTGTGGTCATTAAAGATACTTGAAACATTGGAGATACAGAAAACAAAACACGGAAGAAAAAACTTCAGACTAATGGAATGACACTTTCCTAGAAGTACTAATCCTATAAAATTTATTTCATCTATAACATTTATTTCATCTAAACCTGCAGAAAAATATAAAGTCCATCCCAGCATAGGTATTTATAGGTTAACTATGTTAACATATTCCATCAAAAAAGCTTGAATTCTTGTGTCTAATACAATAACTAGCAACATAAATAACTAGAATATTAGAATTATAGTCGAGGAAGTTCATATACTTAGGGCTATAAATGTCTGTATTTTACAAAAAACTATTGATAGTTTTCAAGTAATTAGTATTTTAGTTATAGTAAAAGACAATGAGTAGATTGAAAGATACCAGAATTAGATGTATAAAATGTTGGGAGTAAAAGCAAAAGTACACTGCCAGGTCAGAACACACACAACCCGAGACATGCCAGACCAAATGTTTCAATAATATTACAGTGAAGAAGAATTTGGTGTTCACAGTGGAATGAAATTTTATTACTGACTCATTTTCCTTCTTTTTTTTTTTTTTTTGTAATTTACTCTATATTTGTTATAAACATACATACTTCTTTTAGCAAGAGCATGTGGTTATTCTACAGTGAGTACTAATTTTTTCCCAATTAATTTCTTTTGTTAAGTACTGAGGGAAAACCCTTGCAGGGTCTTGTTAAAGAAAAGAACTCAAGTGAACAGTCTGACATCAGTTATTCCCATCATTTTATCCATGTTGTGAAGAACATTTAGGAACATCCCTTAGGATGTTTGAATGGGTTCCATTCCCACCCAGGTGCTGCCTGAAAAGCAAGTTATTTGAGAAGAAATTTCATTTAGGAAAATGAATAGAAAGTGCCAGAATAAGGACAATCGGAATAAGGACAACCAGAAAATATCACCTTGGAGACCACCCAAAGCAACATTCAGGAAACTGAACCAACAGACAGGCCAGGGGAGATCTGAGTTTCTAGTTAATAAGCCAATGGGAGTGACTCAGCTGAGCCATAAGAGGTGCACAGTTAAGGGCCAGCAATAGAAATGTAGAGTAGAGAAAAAGAGAAGCCAGTAAGTGTAGCTCAGGTGCACTTTACCACGGGCCAAAGTAAAATCTAAAAAGAATTTAACTAGGTAATAGTACATGCCTACCATTTACATTGAGAAGACAGGAAGAGACACATGAGCTCAGAAATTCTTGAAGGGAAGGGAGGATAAACATGAACATGCCTGGCTTGTAAAGAGGCATAAAGGATATATTCATTACTTTGCCACTAGGTCCTGATAACAGTTAAAGTTATGAATCCAAAACAAATGAAATAGCTGGGAAAAAATGAGAATGAGTCTATAAGAAATCTTTCTATTATGTGTTTTTTTTATTAGGGAATGAGAGTTGCTTTTTAAGTCAATTTGTAAAACTAAGATTTTATATCGTGCAGGCTATTTTTGTACACATCAGCATTCGGACAGATGCCTGCCTCAGTTTGTTATTTATAATGATTAAAATCAGTGAGTGACCCAAGGGGTAGAGAATTAATACAATCTCACTAAACATCACAACTAACTTTTGTTCTGTCATAAGATAGCTAAAGTTCACCACAAGAGAAAGCACATAGTACAAAAAAAGAAGAAGAGAAATGAAGTCACAATTTTTATGGCTCTGACATGGGCCTCTTTGCTGGGGTCTCTACAGCCGGTAGCATGGAGTTTCATTTGCTCAGTATGTCTCCACAGGGACCTTACTAAAAGCAAAAATGAAATCAGTGACACGACAAATGGGACAACTGTAAGCTGGTCAGAGAGAATCACTGGGTTGAAGTATGGAGTTCTACTCACGTGGGACATTTCAGTGACGTTTCTTTTATGCTGTGCACTTTTATAAAACTTATAGTCATGACTCAATTCCAATGCTGTCATAAGGCTGACCAGTAAGGAGATGGCAAAGCATCCCAGCAGGATCCAGCGAACCACCCGGTCAATCCTCCACTTCAGCCAGAGAAAAAGAGGGTGGGAGAGACTGGCTATCTTGAGAAAATAGAAGACATTGAGACAAGTGGAAAACCATATGCTTAAGTAGTTGAAGAATGTCCAGAAGGTAAAAATGATTACAATTAGTTTACTAGTTGCATAAACATCTGAGTAAAGTACTATTATTATCCCATATAGAACCATTACAGTGATCAAACAAATTCTGGAAATAGCTAAATTAGTGAGGATGAGGTCAGTCGAGGAGATCTTTTTCTTCTTAATCCAGTCAAGCCAGTTAACTAAACCAATGTATCCATTCCCCAGCATCCCTATTATGAATTCTCCAGTTATTATGATCACAAAGATGTTTTCTTCAGTCGGGAACATGTTTGTAGAGAGAGCAGTCTGACCTCAAATATCACTGCAGATGAGCTAATTTCCAGATGACTTGTTGGAATGTGATAAATAAATTCTTCAAATCATGCAATAATGTTTTCATCTTTCATTATTTTGACTTTGATATCATTCCAGAAGTATCCAGCTCTCCTCCAAAATAGAATTGTTTCTACATTCATGAAGACTAAACCAACTGATTGCTTCAAGTACACAGGTTGCCTAGTTATTTATAGTCTGGAAAAATTATAATTATTACCCTTACTGAGTGATAACTGAAATGATTGGCTGAAATTGCTATAATGCAAATTCAAAGAGATTTCATTTCATAATTTGCAATCACCTTCTTGTTGCAGTTTTATATATTTGGACCCATCAAACTGAGTTTTGAATAGGAAGTCACAAAAAGCAAACAAAAACATAAGTGTTTGATAAAACCAAAATATGTAAATGAAACTTCATTTCCATCACTATAAACTATAAATTACTCACAAATTGGGTCTCCTAGATGGAAATGAATTTTCATCTCGAAAGTTATTAGTACAATTAGATTGTAGAAAGTCAACATTCCATCTGAGGATAGCACTTTTTTTGTCTTCATTTAAACAGAGAAAGATATGGTACAAATATAATTATAAATGAGTGTTATTAGGCAGGCACATGGCAATACTTACCAAGAATTTGCTCTCTTTGCAGTTATTAGAAGTAAAAGATGCCTGATAAATATTTATTTAATTTAGTTTTATTTACTATGAGAAATACCCTCCAAGATAATTAATTTCCTAAAACACTGTCTCTTGGATAATAGCATTTTAATCTAAAATTAAGGAAATTCTCACTTTATTCTAGTTCCAATTAACTCCTTTTATAAAATTTATGATCTCACAGTACACATTACTGTTATATCTGTACATGGGACAATCACATAAAAAGTAATGTTTTTTTAACTAAACAATATTTTCAGGAAATAGGATTCACTCTACTCTTAAATTAGATTTTTTTTTAAGAGGAGGAATATGACTTAGCCCACAATACATTTGAATGTAAATAATACAAATCACAATAAACTAGGAATCTTTTCTTGTATTTAAATAGTTCTACAATGTAAACAACACGTGCAGTATATTTTTCTTATTTCTTACATGTGTATAGTGTGTAATGGGAAAGCATGGAATTAATAACTTAAAGAGACCTAGTTATACATAAAATATTACCAGAGACAAAATAGAAAAGAAAATGGTGCAAGAGAAATACATGTTACAGATTCCTGCGTTAGAAGAGTAGAGAAAACATTCCAAAGAATCCTCAGGAATTGATTCCTAAAATTGCTACTGTCAGCTAGGGGCACTCATGAAGCAAATGACCATTGGGGCTCTCAACCTTCTTTCTCAAGGTGGTTCTGGTATACACATTGCTAACTGTACAAACCCACCTCTCCTGGTCAAACTTTCATTTTTGAAATGATACTTCTTTTCTCACATCATATATCATTATATGCAGAATCTCACCAAAGACACTTTTTCTCCCCTTTTGATCCAGACAAACCTTTCCAGAAATGGAGGCGACAGGGCAGTAAAGATAAAAAACTGGTTTTCAGTTCAGAGAAGAGAGTTTTTCCTATGATTGATTTTATAGGAAAGGTTAATGATTTCTAAAATTTCTTCCCCATGGCCTGTTTGCCTGAAATTCTTCTACTCATTGAGTTCAAGGCATTTGCCAGTCTATGTCAGAAAGAAAAGAAATAGGACCTCTTTGCATTTAGTCAATAACATGAAATGTTAGTGTGGGATTCATTTTTCCTGTGAAGACAAAGAAAACATATGTGGTTCAATGACAACATTAGATTTGAAACTAAACAAGACAGAAATGTGAAGAAACACAAAAGATATTAATGATTTACAATAACATAAAGAAAAAAAGGAATGTAAACACTTGGGAGAAAGGAGAAAGTCTTTTGTTGAATTCTTCTTGTATTCAAGGGCACGCTCTAAGGGTCTCTGTGGAACAAAGGGCTTCCTTCCTTTGCAGAAATTCTTCACAAATCTTAACATCCTCAGAAAAAGCTTCTCTCAGCTTATTGTTTCCCATGATCAGGAAGAAGAATGACTTGATGGGAAAATGACAGTTAATATGTCACTAATTATCACCACCAGTTTTCCCTGAGGAATCAGAAAGCTAGAGGTTACTACCAGAAAGACTGCATAGTGCACAATACTGCCTTCATGGCCCTCGTGTGGGCTTCTCTGCTGGGGTCTCTGGACCCTGTGGCACGAAGTGTCATCTGCCTAGTGTGTATAAATAGGAAGGAGAGTAACAAGAAAAATGAGATCAGGCAAAGAATAAAGGGAACGATACCTCCCAGGTTCAGGGTCATCTGTTTGAAAGCATTTGCGATTTTACTCACTTTGAACTCCCAGGTACTGTTTTTTTCATGGCTGGCCTTGAAGAAGTGATGCCACATGTCATCATTCATTGAAATGCCAAAAATCATACAAACGTGTTGTCTGATCCAACTTCAATAAAATGAAATGGCAATAGAAAAAAATTACCTTTAAAAATCTCTTATAGGTAGAAAATTATATCGTTAAATGACTCTTGCATCAAAAGGAAATTATAAAGGATTTTTTTTGTTGTTGTTGTTCTCTGCCAGGGCTGTACTACCGCATTTATTCTTCGTAGCTAGCATTGTTATACCCATCTTACAGATGATGACATTGAGCTTTGTAAAAGTTATGTGCTATAAAGGATATTTTGAAATTATTTGAGTTGAATGGAAATATAAGAACCACTTGCAGGCAGTTGTGGAATATATATAAGTTGATATTTAGGCAGAAAACATATAATGTTTTCCTATACTCCACCCCTTCATTGTATGGACAGCGTTTTTTGAGTCTTCTTTATGTGTGGCCACATGAAATTCAGTAAATACATTTACTAAAAAAAAAACAAACAAACAAAAAACAAAACAAAAAAAAAACAAATTGAAAAGAAACTAGCAAAAGAACAACCAACTTTTGTATTCAAGAATGGCAAATCAGATGTCCAGAGAAATTCTTTAGTCCAGAGTACATAAATACACTGGAAAGCAAGCCTTCAGAAATATTTTAAGTGCACGGCTTAGCTGTCAGGAAAGGAAAAAAAAAATCTTCAGTTGCCAGAAATGGTGGAAAAGTGCAAATCCTGGGAGAGAAAATAGTGCCGAACATAGAGTTAGTCCCTGAGGCATTAACAATCTCCTTTAAACCAGTGCTGAAGTGCTGAAGTTTTTAAAATTTTTTAATAATTGACTGTTCTGTGGTGAGCAGGTATATGCAAACCCTCTTCCAAAGGCTGAGGGAGCTAAAAGGCCAAAGACAGAGACTGACTAATCCAGTTTCTCAGAAAGAGATATTTACCAGGGATTTAGGAAAGAAGCCATGACTTAGTGTGACTGCCAGGCAGTGGATCTCCACACCCACCTTATAGAAAATATTTTGTATATAGCGAGCTTTTAGGGAAAACATGTACAGCTGGTCACATCTCAGACTTTCTTGTGAAACTCATGAACACTGGGGTGGGGAGGTTAGATAGGCATCTTTGTTATTTATGCCATGGGCATTGTGTTAAGGCCTTGCTGCAGAACACCTTGGTATGCAGGATCAGTCATCCTGGCAGTTGTGCTTCAAGGTGGCGTCACTCTTGCCATGCAACAGGCTGTTCTTCTGCACTCCACCACTCCATTGTGTGGACAGCCTTTTTTGAGTCTTTTGTGTGTGTGGCCAAAAGAAATACAGTTAAATCAGCTGCAGGGTGTTGCAGCTTCTCCCATATGTCTTGCCTCATATTCATGCCCCATAGGAGTTCGTGCATAATCATTCACTTTTCTTGTTCCCTTTGAGCTAGCCACATAATTAGGCCTTTGAATACAGCCCAGTTAACAGTGCAAAGAACGAGGGGCCAGGGCTCAGGTGTGCTTAGTCACTAAGCAGCTCCCAACTCAGCCCACTGACTGATGTTTACCTGTATCAGCAGTCCAAGTACAGGGGTTTCCCCTGCTGAGCCATCCATATATCAAACATCATCTGGCATGGGTAAGACTCCTTCTCTTTCTGGGTCAGGCAGGTTTTACTCCAGTAAAACAAGGTGGAGAGGTGTTCCTTGGTTGCTCATAGGTAATAAGACCTAATACAGCATGCAATTTTGGGGTTAAGGGACTTATTGCCAGAACTCTTTGTTGTTGTAAATAGGCATGCCATTTATTCAAGGTAGGTGTTTGAGCTACAGTGGAGGTGGGGTCTTTGAACAGTCCTTCTATCCATCCCTTGATTGGTAGACCCATTCTCACAGTCACAGTAAGGGTCTTTGTTAATGGTTCCACCTGCTGTGAAGCATAATATACTGCTAGGACTTGTTGATCAACGTGAGATCATCTGGTTTCGGCTCCTTTCCATAATTACCACGGAAATCCTAAAGGAACTGATTTACCATACTCTGGTTGCTGTAAGATCCAACTCATACCCTCAGTATGTAGTCATAGTGATACCCTCTAAAGAGGTGGCTAAAGCTCCTGTCTGCCACACTAACACTTTAGTCTGTTCAAAAGCTTCTTGCTGAGGTGTGTCCCGGTCCCAGTGTGCCTATAAATCTATAGGGTGGTCTCAAACATGGGTCTGAAAGTGGGATAAATGCTTTCCAATAACTCAAAAGACCAATAAATGTTTGGATTTCTTTTACTGTTTTCAGACTTGGAGATTGTTGGACTTTGTCAATTACTGATCCTGGTATCAAAGGAGTCTTACCTGACCCTAAAACCTCCTCTATAGGCCCTGGGTCCTGAATATTGTGAGAGTTGATTGCCCCTCCCCATTCCCATAGATGAGCACACAGTGATGTCAGACTCTCCTCCACCACATTAAAATCTTCAGAGGTTAACATAACATCATACATATAACAAAATTAGTGAAGAGAAGATGAGAATGCGAACAAAGACACTTTTCTAGCCACCGTTTCATGAC